CAGATTCAGAGATACAATAACATGTAATTAATTAGATCTGATGCAATTATTGGCTCTCTCACAAGCCAGTGTAAGAGCTCAGCCCTGCAGTGCGTAGTTAGGACCAGCACGGATGGCACAAGTGTGGGTGGAGCCCAGGCTGAGCGTGATGCCTATTTGTACAGGAGTCCCGGTGACACAGGGGCAAACCACATGCCCTGAAATAAAACGCTGCTGGTTTTTGTATTTGAAAAAAAATTCTAGCATAAGTTATTGTTTTACATGGCCATTTTAGTTTTATTTGACTTGCCTGAAATAACCAAAAAAAGGAAGTATTCCCAGATTCTGTATTACATGTTTGCTTCAGGCATCAAGCCCTGGCCTGGTTTGTATGAAGAGCTGAGGCTCCACAAAAACCCTTGGATGTCAGCTGGCATTCAGAGTCCTCAGCTCTTTGGGAAGAGCAAGTCCATTCCGGAAGGTGCCAGAAGTAGGTGGCCCCAGATGTTACGGTGCTGTGACCTGGATGTAGAAAGCTGTTGCCAAACTTCACCATAGTGGTGGTCACCTCGCCCGTCTTCTGCACAGGCGATGCAAAAGCACCCTTCCCTGCTGGGGATCTCTCTTGATTAACTATACTGAAGAATACTGAATAAAAGAGCTACTTAGCTCCGGGAACGCTGACGCGTTTATGAGCAGATGAAGAGGAACAGGGAAGTAAATCTCAGTGAGCAATGCAAAAAGTGGGAGATGAACGGGTACCAGGCACGCAGACTCCAGTGTCAGTGACCTGAAACAACTGACACAGGCTGAACACAACCTCCATATTCAGAGTTCATCAACTTCCCTGTCTCTATACTTGTTCCTCAGCATTCAGTGTAAAGCAGGCATTTGTTATCAATAAATGGGACTTGAGTACCATCTTTCAGACAAGTAGTTATCATTGACAGTGACAGCCTCTGGCTAGTCACTCCAGGTCGCCCGAGAAGCCAGTTGCAGCTCTGCAAGCCAGCGGTGCAGGCAGCAGCTCCAGCAGCCTGGACATCAGCAGTCTAAGACCTAAGGCTGAATTTAAGAGGAAGTGATTAATGGATTTTCTCTCCCAACGCAGCAACAAGGAAGTTCCCAGCAAAACTGTCAGAATCAAGAAGCAGTATTGTTGTGCAGTGAATAATTACATTGTGCAGCGCCTTGCTGGGCATCGGGGGAGCTGAAGTGAACTGTTTCAGAAGGGGGTAGTGCCAATTCAGAGGGGTTGGGTCCACATGAAGGTGAGAGGCCCCAGGAATCCAGCCAACACCCCTTCCAGGACACCCCCAGGGCAGACCATTCTTTCACCCAGAAAAGAGGCCCTTCTTACATGTGCAAGCTGATGTGGAAGGTTTAGAAGAAGGGCCATTACCTGCTTACCATAGGCCCCAGCCGAGGGAAAGAGAAGGCAGGTGAGGACAGTCATCTTCCTGTAATCACCTTCCCCTGACTCACAAAAGCCAGCAAAGCTCAACCTCCAAACAAGGTGTCCCTCCAAGCACAGCTGATGAAGGTACTGTAGACTTAAAATCAAAATACCAGTAACAGTCCAGGATATCTCCCTAGTCAGCATGCCCTGTACCATTATTTCCTTATTCTTATCCACAAGCAATGGTTTGTGCACAAGTTTCCAATTAAAGTTAGTAACTGAGCAAGTCTAAACAGCTCATTAACAAGAGGTGATGTTCATTATCCTGCTTTTAAGAGATATTAAACTATCTGAGACAGGCCAATGGCCTCTCCCATCAGAAAGAGAACACCAGGTGCTAATTAACTTACTTGAGCTTACATAAACTAATTCAGTGGTGAAGCTGGAAATCTGTTTTCCTTGACATTTAACTAAATCTGTTAGTACAGCAAGCTTGGGGAAAAACTGTATAAATACATTTGTGCTCAGATACCACTTCTGCAGGCCAAATAAGCAAAGCTGGGGAAAAGAGCAAGGATGCTTCATACACAGGGTGCGGTGTGGGAAAAGGGAGGTGAAGGACACAGGAAAGAGCTCTTTAGCTGGTAAACAGACCGCATGCAACAGCAGGAAATCATTAAAAGCCTACAAGGTTATCTCTAATTACCACAAAGCAGCACAGCTGACTGCCCCTCTTGTTTTGCAAGACAAGAAAGCCATGCTGGCTGTTTAGGTTGGTGTGGACACGTTGGAGGGGAGAGGGGAGTGTGCAGCAGCTACGCAGCCTCAGCTTCCTTGGTCAGAGCTCGGCAAAGTGCCAAGCAGTTGTTTCTTCATCAGTCTAGCTGGGTAAACACACAGAATTGGCGCCTGGGAGATTACATAAACCCCACTCGTTCCCTTAAATCTGCACCCCAATATCTAAATATAAAAAGAGAGAATTACAGTTATCTTATTTCAAAGAAATTTATTTAACAAACTTCAGGAATATTGCTTGACACTTCCACAGGCTTCAGAAAATGAAGTTACCTATTGCTGCACAGGTTGCTGTATATAAGGATGTCTCCGAGACAATCAACCTTGTTTTGTAGTATTAGCCATCTTCTCCCAGCATTAGTAAGTCAAGCAGTACTATACAAAGCCAGTTGGAAAAAAAGTTACTGTATTTTCCCTAGAGAATTCCCTACCCCCAACAAAAGAGCTCTTCTTCAGCTAGCAGAGGGCATCCTAAAATCATTCACAATTGCAACAAGTCTTGGGTGAACTCAATGGCCAATTGTCCACTGCCTCCCTCTAAGCCGAGTGAGAGGCACCAGCCTGGGACTCAGTCTGGCTACGGCTGCCTTCCCCCAGGGAAAGGGCTGGGGGCACAGCCTCCGACTAGCACGAAGGAGAGTACATGAAGAATTGATTTCCTTGATTTCCAGTTTTGGATGTCACCAAGAAGGCACTCTGAAGTTACATCCATGTTTCTAGACACCCTTGACCCAGTGTAGGGGAACTGTTCTGCCTGGCATGGGCAACCCTAGGCACCACAACTGGTTTATTGGTTAGTTAAGGCACTCTACCACCTGGTAACACCAAAGTGCAACAGTTTGGGACCGGACCTTGCAGAATCTCTCTGGGGTAAGTGGCTCTGCTAAAGACAACAGCACTGTTCACACAAGCATCTGCAAGTTCAGCCCACTAGCGTGTCTTCAACAGTGCAATTCAGCAAATCAAAAGCACCTTCACAAAGAGAGACACAATCACAGTGCAGGTTTCCAGAGGCAGGTTAAGGGCACAAGTCCCTGTCCTTGAGAGCGGGTCAAGAAACCCTGACAGAGCCCCAAACATTGCAAGAGCTTCAGGAGTTGCTGGCTGGCACTGCTTTGTGCATTATCTCACCAGAAAGATGGGCAGATTCATGTGCAAAAGCACAACTGGCACTGTCCAGAGCAAGCCTGGTCTGAAACCACATTGCAAAACAGGCTTAGGAGCGTCGTCTTAAAAAGTTATGGAAATCTGAGAAGGAACAGAGACTGTCCTCATGAAGGCAAGTGAATCTACAGTTCAGCAAGTGTGGAGGTATGCTCAGGCAGGAATTATGATCCTTACACGAAGCTGTTTACTTGTGGCTCGCCTACACAGCCTTCTTGGCCCTTGTGCTATGATGCTTTTGTTTCAGGTGAAAAATTGTGTCAAACTTGCTGCACAGGAAATGAAAACCTTGCTCAACAGCTATTGGACAAGCTACAGAGATGAAACGTGTAGAAACATTTGTCCTAACACAAAAATACAAGCAGTCTTACCAGAGGATACAAAACAAACATTAAACCAGAGACCCTGAAATACTCTTAAGATATTTTTATCTGTGGTCTGTTGGGCAGGGAGGACACATGTGGGGCAACCCAACCTCTGAGGTCTTTTTTCATTTGACATGAGACACCACAGGGAACTTCAAAGCTGCAGCGATTGTAGAGATCTTGACTCAGGCATTGGCAGGAGGAGGACCAGCCTTAATACAATTTTGGCCAAGTCTCTTTGGATTTCCATCATCTGTGACAGCTTAGAGCTGCCCCCATCAGCCCCTTCTTAGGCAATCTTGGGCTTCTTCTCCTCCCAGGCCCACTGTTAATCAGGGGATGAAAAGGACTTGGTCTGGTCAGGAGGATCTAGAGCCTTCTCCTCCCAGAAGAAACGCTGCAGGAGACTCTCAGCTACAGGATGAGCAGATTTCCCATTGCCCCAGCGAGAAACTCCTGACAACCAAAACACACCCCAGAAGGTGCAGTGGTCTCAGCATGGTCTGCACAGCCACAGTGCCCACCTAAAACCCCTGCAGAGCTTGTCCTTCTTGCCCCAAAGGGACAAAAAAGAAACCAGGAAGAGCAATGCCCCATTACAGTGAACTTTGCAAGGGCTGTGAGGGAGTCAGTTTGGGTGACTTATTGGCACGTGTCCTACAGGCAGCTACAGTGGTGTCCCTGAAAAACTCACAGAGGAAAGGACAGATACAGGGGACGTGCCAGCAGGAAACAAAACTGGTGACCAGATCAAGACCTGTGTGCCTTTTCTTTTGAAAGAGAAATGGAGGAGTGAGATCCAGTGAAGATTTTCAATACCCCATGCCAGTGAGCGTGGCCAGGCAAAAACCATCTGTCCCTGAGACAGAGCAAAACCACGAGACACACCAAAGTTATGTCACACTCTTCACAGACTCCAGAATATGGGGAAAAACCAAGCAACACCAAACCCACAGCAGTACAGGCTTTGTGTAAGCCTCAAAACTGAGCCCATGTGTAGATTGCAGTCTGCCACCCCTCTGCACGTTTAACGGGACACCCTCTTCTTTAAACCACTTCTCCAGAAAAACGCATTTCCGTGGCAGCCAGTCTCAGTCTCTGCTTTGCTCGTATTGCGCAGCCCTCTACGCTGACCAGTGGGTGGGTATGTCTTCTACAGGCATCAAGACTGACTCATGCTTCCCCCTCCTTGCACACAATTTAAGACACGGTGTCCTTTTCAAACTGCATTAGACTCCCTTTTTTCCAGTCTAATTGGCAAAGCTGATTACACAAAGGCGGAGGTACACCCTTTGCACCTAGATTTTGCCTACGCTGTTCCTGGGGTGTGTGAGGCTGTTGATGTGAAGTCCACTGATCCCATTAAGGAAGAAGAGAAAGGCAGCGATGAACTCGCACCAGTACGTCAGCGTGAAGCCCATGAAGGTGAGGTGATCCTTCACGAGGATGGAGAAGCTCAGAACCCCAGTGGCCGACAGCAAAAACGAGCCAAGGATGAGAACCGAGCCCATCGACCACTTCCGCCTTGCGTTGGCATCCTCGCAGACTTGGGACACCATCAGGAGCTCCAGGCCAAATATAGCGACCACAACAGCAAAGGACACCATGCTTCTTATAGGAATCACCCCCACACTCAGCCCCTCCACATTGGCCAGGCTGAGGTCAGTGACGCACTTCAGGACGCTGCTGTTGCTAACGGTGCAGAAGTGCCACAGTCCGAAGAGCTGCCCCCTCGCGAAGAGCCAGCGGCCATCGCAGACAGAGATGGATGACAAGACCACTGCTATCGCCACGCACAAGATGATCAGGCTCCTGATGAGCGTCTCAAAGAAGGATTTCTGCAGTCTCCGGTGCGCCAGCAGCCTCTGCGCCTTAAAGGATAGCGGGGGGAAGAAAAACACCCGAGTTAGCAGCACTACTTTAGACTGAAATGAAACCAGAGGGACAAAGCTGTGGGACTTCAGCATTTGAAGCTATTTGCTTGTGCACATCAAAGCCCTTCTTACAGGGGAAGGCAGTGCAGTTACAGGCCGTACCCAGGAGAAAGGAAGGGTGGGTGAAGCTCTCCCAGTTCCCCAGCCGCACAAACAATGCTCCCACGTCAAGGCCCGGGTTCGGGATCACAAAGGCTCCAGACTGAGCAGGATCCCTGCCCCACGGCCCCCGCGGCATAGCCTCCTGCTCTGGCAGGGCTGGAGGAAGCCCCCGGCCCCTGGGAGGATGGGGGCTGACAGCTGGGACGGGAGAGGCGGCAGAAGCAGGCGGGGGAGCAGGGGGGGGGGGCACCCAATTACCAGCACTGCCCTTCTTTTCCCACAGCCCTCCTGGGCTCCAGCCAGTCGGGCTCTCCTCCTCTCGCCGACAGCAGCAGCGCTCCGGACCCGGCTCCTCACCCCGGAGGCAGCACGGCTCGGCTTCCCCGGGGCTGGGGGGTGGGTGTTTCCGACTGCAGCCCCCAAGAACCCACGTGGGCAACGCAC